TTTACACGATGCTAATTGCGTATATGACGGCTCATTTACCTTTACCTATGTGCGGCAAGTCCTTCGGGTAGGTAAGTTCCCGCACCCTGCCTTGAAGTCTCACTGACATGCATAGGATAGAAGTCTGAGCTTGTTCTTTTTCTGACTTTTTCACCACTCTATAAGGTATTTGCAACCGTGATTTTTTTGACTGATCGCTAAATTTTAGCTATGGTCTAATAAATTTAATGAACATATTTTTACAGAAATATGTCTATTGAGTTCAGAAGACTTCCGAAAACAACAGCTTCAGCGATACAATCATGTAGTCGACAGAAAGAAGCTACTGCGACTGTGATATCTGTCATCAACTTACCCTTTGATTCAGCGGGATTCGCGGCTGGAAGGCGACCGCTTGCACCCGCGACGCAGTCTGCGTCTCTCTTGCGAACATGCTCTTTAACACAGCTGATTGTGATGTACTTCATGATATTGGTTGCTTTCATTTTTGTGAAAGGCGAAACATCTCTGAAAGCAAAGGTCTTCCCAGCAGTGCTGTTTGTTCCTGTTCTCAGAGCCTATCTCCTTCTCGTATCTTCATTACCTTTCGTAGTTAGCTAGTCACTTTTTATAACGTACATAAATTAACTAATTCACGCGGAATTGGCACGAACAACTTTGGCATGTAGTTGTGATCAAGAGAAATACAAGCAATTGGATGTCGAAGGTAATCCATTACATGGGTAGAATAATACGACTGCGATTAGCGAGACTCGAAATTGGTGGTATTCCGCTTTTGCCCAAGACCGAGACCAAACGGTGATTTTATGCGGTTTCCATTCGCTCTAGTTGCTCTGTGTTAATGCAAGAACTTGTGAGATAAGTGTGATATAAAATAATCCTGTCTCTCAAGCTACCGAAGCACCTATAAACGACTCTTACTGGTAGGATGCCGAAGATAGCTTACGTATTTTACTCAAAAATTACGCTGACTCTTCAGCTAGGAAAGATGAGTTGGCAGTGAATGAAAGACCAAATCTTCGAAAAGACCTTTTCTTGCAGGGGTGGAAAACAACACATTATTACAACCAAAGGACGTTAATAATCACGGAGAGGACTACGGTAGTTTATCTTGCGGATGATGAGAACGTCAACGGAAACTTGCAACCAGAGATTAGCTCATATTTCGTGCCATTGCAGGCTCTTTTTGGTTTCCTCTTAGAAACTATGAAAGTTATATAAGGAGAAATGGGGCACAACTAGCCTGGTAATGATGCCATGATGACCGTTTTCTATCAGGAAAGGGATTTGAATTGTTTGAAGCACCACAGTACGCTGCATCATAAGCTGCACTAATGCCGGAAGTAGATTTCTAAGTCTCACTAATCACTATTCGTATTGACGTCACCCATAAAACATTCAGAAAGGAAAAATATGGCCGGATATTCAATGTGGAAGTGCAACACTTCATATAAATCTCAGAACATAGTAGTATACGTACACGAAATTGTATTGCGCATAGTCTATCTTCAGTGGGTGATTCCGAAAATAGGGTCTCTGAACGTTATAATGAGAAAATATCAGACATCTTTCTTCATGAAAGCGCCAAACATCTCCACTGGCACAGGGAATACAATCGTTGAATTGTGCTCAGCCCTGAAAGTCAAAGAAGGTTTTTCAGTACGATTTGTTAAGCTACGTGAGTATTCATACGCAATGCTGTTGAGCGCTTGCAAATGTCGGAGTTGGAGAGCGACCGGATTCGCTTGGATAACATCCGCTGCTTCTTTCAGTGCTCGAGAAGCCTAGAAGACACTATGTCAGTGATGCATATGTTATAGAAGTTTTCCATTAGAAGAAGTTGTCACCTTCTGCTCTCCTTCGGCCGCGACCACTTTAGCGCGAGCCTCTCGTGCAGCCTCGGCCTCTGCCGCCATCGCGCGGGTCAGCTGCTGAGGTAGCCTAATGTCTTTCACTTCCACTCGCTCCACCTAAATTGCCTTCATCAAGGCTCGATTAAGAAGTGCTTCCAATAAAGCCCTCGGAAATTTGCAAAAACCCAACGATCACATCCCTAATGACGCGTGCATAACAAGTATAGCATGGTATGTGGAGATAATGACATGCGACGGCATGAATCACCTGGGATGGGTTTGCAGCAGCCACCGCGTTGGATATAGGGTTTGAAAGAACCCTCGCTGTTCTAAGCATAGGTCTTCATTTCAAAAGGCTAAAATCATTTTGCTCAGACAAGGATGACGTAGAGTACTTTCCAGTTATTAGTAAATATAATTTGATGGGAACGAAAGGACTTGCAAGCTTTAGGAGTTTCTGCAGCATAAGGTGGTGGCATACTGTACGATAAGGAATCCCAGAGAACGGCACTCACCTTTACTCCCCAATGTTCTGTTCCCTCATCAAGTATCGTCTCACACAACTGAGCGATCGCTTCACGTTCGGTAAGCATTTCTGTTAGGGTTTTCATACCTAAAAATATCATGATTAGTGATTGTGTTTGAAATGAAACAGAATACATAAATGCAGGATGGTTACCCAATGCATTTCTGAGTGTAGTTTGTGCCAACAATTTTGTCGAATAAATAGCGTCATCTACGTTATTTACAGAAGCGATGGGATCGGAGGTACGGAAATAGACGACAGCGTCTACAGACACCGTCACGGAATCTTTTGACAAGATTTCCTGAGGTGGCACTGCATAGGAGACTACCCTGAAAAA